GAAGGAAGGAAGGAGGGAGGGAAGGAAGGAAGGAGGGAGGGAGGGAAGGAAGGAAGAAAGAAGGTTTGTCATAGAGGTTCCTCTAAAGTCAAAGGTTTCGCCTCCTCCCTTCTCCTATTCCGGCATCCACTCTAACGCACAACAAAATCAGGGATTACCATTTTTGGGATTAAGATCACTTAATTTAATGCTGAGCTAACCAACAAGGAATCGAGAGTAGAACTTTGTTCCAGATGATGTTTTCTTAGTTTATTACGTTTGATGTAATTTATTCTTTTGTTGCAGAACGGTGAGGATAACGGAATACCTGTCACGACCAGCCTGTATCTACCTTTACAGGGACGTATTGTATGTGGACGTGAGGACGGGTCGATTGTTATCATATCGGCTGCTAAGGCTGCTATCACTCAGCTGTTCAGGATCAAGAGAAACAGAGAATCACCAGGTGATTGACGTACATCATCACCATCATCACCATCACCACCATCATCACCATCATCATCAACATCATCATCATCACCACCACCATCATCATCAATATCATCTTCATCATCATTATCACCATCATCACTATAATCATTTTGTATCATTATAATAGTCATCATCATCATCATTATCTCCATCATTATCACCATCATTATGTATCATCATCATCAACATCACAATCAGCATAACCATCATCACCTTCATTATCACTATCATCATCATCATCATTACCATCACATCATTACCATCATAATCATCACCATCATCATTACCATCATCATCATGATGATGATTATGTATCATCATGTATCATCACCATCATTATCTCCACCATCATTATCACAATCATCACTGTATCATCACTATTATCATCATCATGACCATCACTGTCATGGTCATAATCACCAGCAAACATCATCATTATTTATTTAGTTATATTTTAATTCATTAATTAAGCTACTTTCTTCTTTCTCTTCAGTGTGGCCATCACATCGTATACTAACGGGTCATCGTGGCCGGGTCACGTGTCTCCTGTACCCCCGAGATGAAGACAAGCGTTATGATAAACACTATCTTGTTTCCGGGGGGGTCGACTTCTCGGTCAAGCTGTGGGACATTTACAGCGGCGATCTGCTTTGCACATTTAGTCCCCATGGAGGAGAGATCTTGCGATTAATCTGCACCCCCCCGGATTGTAGCGTAAGTATTACTTGTCTCAGTGAAGTGGCGGCCATGTTAGTGTACATAACAAGAGAAGCTAACGAGAAATCTTTTGTTAACGTACACCAACATGGTGGTGATGACGTCACATGGAAACAAACTGAATGATTCAAATGACAAAGACATGGCGGCCATGTTGGTTTACATAACAAGAGAAGCTAACGAGAAATCTTTTGTTAACGTACACCAACATGGCGGTGATGACGTCATAACTGAATGATTCAAATGACAAAGACCTGGCGGCCATGTTGGTGTACATAACAAGAGAAGCTAACGAGAAATCTTTTGTTATCGTACACCAACATGGCGGTGATGACGTCACATGGAAAACTGAATGGTTCAAATGACAAAGACGTGGCGGCCATGTTGGTGTACATAACAAGGGAAGCTAACGAGAAATCTTTTGTTATCGTACACCAACATGGCGGTGATGACGTCACATGGAAAACTGAATGGTTCAAATGACAAAGACCTGGCGGCCATGTTGGTGTACATAACAAGAGAAGATAACGAGAAATCTTTTGTTAACGTACACCAACATGGCGGYGATGACGTCATAACTGAATGGTTCAAATGACAAAGACCTGGCGGCCATGTTGGTGTACATAACAAGAGAAGCTAACGAGAAATCTTTTATTAACGTACACCAACAT